TTTCATGTGTTTATTATGTTCAAGCTGGGCATGGATTATGTAATTGAAACCTGTAGTCCCAGTACTGGACAGCGAAATACAGAGGAGGTCAGCTGACTAGATGGCATCTTCCTTGGCTTAAACTGAAAATGAAAAGAAGTGCTGTGAGATATTTGAGCTGTGTGAAGATATGCCGCTGTGATTGGTGTAATAAAAAGCCTAGTGGCCAATAGCTAGGCAGGAGAGATAGGCAAGACCTATCTCAGCTACTTGAGTTTCTTCTCTTGAGAATTCTCTGTTTAGATTTGTAGCCATCTGTTCACTTATATTTGGTTTTTCGAGATAGGGTTTCTCTGTGTAGTCATGGTGTGGTGGCACATGCCTTTTAATCCCAGCATTCTGGAGACAGAGGCAGGGGTGTCTGTGTTTGAGGACAGTTTGGTCCACACAGTGAATTCTAGGCCAGCTAGGATCACATACTGAGACCATGGCAAAAAATGAAAAACAAGAAAAAAATAAAGAACTAAAATGTCATGCTTACTATGTACCTGTATTATTATTATTTTATTCTTTTTCTAAATTTATTTATTTAATATGTATACATTATTCTGCCTCCATGTAGAGAGCACCAGATCCCATTACAGATGGTTGTGAGCCATCATGTGGTTGCTGGGAATTGAAGTCAGGACCTATGGAAGAGCAGCCAGTGCTCTTAACCTTTGAGCCATCTCTTCAGTCCCATACCTGATACTATTTTAATATCATTAAAAATTTACAACCACTGGACGTGCAGTGATGGCACATGCCTTTAATCCCAGCACTCGGGAAGCAGAGGAGGAGGATTTCTGAGTTTGAAGCCAGCCTGGTCTACAGAGTGAGATCCAGGTTAAGTCCAAAACTACACCCTGTCTTGAAAAAATTTACAACTATCAAATGACTCAGATACCTTGATTGTCCCTGTCTCACAGATAAACTGAAGTTCAGGGAAGCTAAGTGTTTTAACTAAGGTTACATGAGTGGCAAGTGGCAAAGCCTAACAAAAGGCACACATAGTCATGCCTGGTTAAAACTGAGTTCTTAACTACTACGCTTTACAATAATTTTAAAATCTAGCTATCACCAACAAAAATATCTATCCAGGATTTAAAATAATGCAGAAATGGTGAATAATCAGGTATAGGGAAGTAGGGAGATAGATAGGTAGATAGATAGATAGATAGATAGATAGATAGATAGATATACAAATACTCTTAGTTTCAAGGCAGAATAGTGAAGATAAAAATCTAATTAAAATTATAATATGATCCCTAATAATAGTATTTGAGAGGGCAAAGATGTACAACTTTAAAATAAGGGGAAAACAGAGGCGGTAGAATCTTTGAGGCCGGCTTGGTCTACAGAGTGAGTTTCAGGACAGCCAGGGATACACAGAGAAAGCATATCTTGAAAAACGAGGAAAAAAAATCAGTATGTCACCAAAATAAAATAAAATAATTCTCTGAAAGTAGAGGGGAAACTGAGTAGGGAAATGAACTGACACACACCTTCAATCCCAGCGTTTGGGGAGGCAGAGGCAGGATATCTGTAAGTTTGAGGCCAGTCTGAAATTGTCAAAAAAAAGAGAAAAAGGAAGATTAGTTTCTGATTCAGGTCAACTTAATTCAACCTACATTTCTAGAGTACACTCAAAGGTTATTTACTGCACAGCTCAAGAGTTCTCAGCTTTAGGCCCTTGACGTACATGACCTGGAAAGCACCGCACATTTGGTGTTGTGGATTGGAAGCAGAAACCAGGACATAAACAAAAAAAAAAAAATCTGAGCTCTTTTTGGTAAGCTGTGTAAAGGTGTTCACAGAAGAAAGGTGCCTGGATCTTCATGACTCTAATAATGTGTTATCTTTTCTTTTTGCATTCACAATTCAACAACTCCACATTATTATATCAAAGCATCCCCTTAAATATGTAAGAGTTGAAGACGTGGCTTCGTGGTTAAGAGCACTTGCTGCTTCTCCAGAAGGCCTGAGTTGGATTCTCAACACTCATGCTGGGAAGCTCCCACCTACCTGTAACTCTAGCTCCAGAGGATCCAAAGATCTCTTCTACACACACACAATCACCTTTAAAAAATTCCAAAACCCCACATACATCAGCATGTGCTGTGCCTTTTATTAAGTGGTATGTCCTTAACTAATGAAGATACAAAGATGAAGACACCGGGGTATGGACAAGTACAGGCACAAACATAAAGTACACGTCAGTGCCAGGGTAAAGACAGAAATAAAATGTAATGGGAGTGTGTGGAAAGGTTGGGCACGGTAGTGCACACCTGCAGTCTGAGCATTGAGTGGGTGCAGGCAGCAGGATCAGAACTGTATCATCGCTAATGGCGTCATAGTTAGTGGTTAATGTGATACAAACCTCCATGCACTTGCTAAGAGGAATCTCAAGTGAGGAATCACCTCCATCAGCCTGGCCTCTGGGCACATCTGTGAGGCATTTTCTTGATTGCTAACTGATATAGAAGGGCCCAGCCCACGGTGGGCAATACTACCCCTGGGCAGGTGGGCCTGGGATATATAAGAAGGAAAGCTGAGTAAGCAGTTTTTCTTCATCTTCTCTGCTCTCTGGGGGTCTCAAATTATGCCCCCAGGTTCCTGGCCTGGCTTCCCTCGATGATGGGTTCGCAAGATGAAAGGAACCCTTTCCTTCCCCAGTTGCGTTTGGTCAGTGATTTATCACAGCAGCAGAGAAGCAAATAAGAACACCTGACTTCGCAGGGAGTTCCTGGCCAGCCTGGGACACATGTTATAGGAGCCAGGTGTGGTGGCTCTTACTTTTAATCCCAGCACAAAAAAAAGGGAGAAAGGCAGGTGAGCTCCAGGTCAGCCCTGAGCTGTGTAGTAGTAAAACAGGGAGGGGAGGGAGGGGGAGATGAGGGGAAAAAAATAGAACCTTCACTGGGCTGTGGTGACCTTTGCCTTTAATCCTAGCACCGGGAGGGAGAGGTGGGTGAATCTCTGTGCGCTCAAGGCCAGTCTGGTCCACCGAGCAAGTCCAAGACAACAAGGGCTGTGACACAGAGAAATTCTATTTCAAAGAAACAAATGTGTGTGCGTCATAGGAGCACACGAAACATTGGTAATAGGAGTTTGTTACAGAATCTTTATGCATGGCTGACAAAACTAAAGGCAAATACCGAGATCTGAAGACATTTTAAATTTCTATGATGTAGGACATGGCTTGGGTGGTGACAGTGTCTCAGAAACAGATAGTAGTGTTCACAAATACATTACACACTCCTCAACACTTTTCTGGCACCTTGACAAATATGTTGGAGTCACGTAGGTGGTGTCCTGGTCAGTAGGTCATGAGAACTGATTGTGCTTTTTCTATTTTAAGACTCTTAATGCTATTTAATTAAGAGCTAGTATGAGTTCTCTGTAAAAGGAGACTGCTTGTTCATTTTCTGGCTGCCCAGACCCAAATAATCATACAGAAACTATATTAATTACAACACTGTTTGGCCAGTAGCTTAGGCATATTCCTAGCTAGCTCTTCATCTTAAATTAGCCCATTTCTATTAATCTGTGTATCAGCACAAGGCTGTAGTCTAATGATAAGGTTCTGGTATATTTCTCCTTCAGCAGCTACATGGTGTCTGCCTGACTCCACCTTCTTTCTCCCAGCATTCAGTTTAGCTTTTCTGCCTAGCTCTATTCTGCCCTGCCATAGGCCAAAACAGCTTCTTTATAAACCAATGATGATAAAACATATTCACAGCAGAAAGAGGGGAATCCCACATCAGCTCTCTATTGTCTATACAGAAAGACTTTGATCTTGGAAGCCAGGAACCTTGAGATGAATAGTTGGGAGATAAAAACACACTAGTTCTCTGAAGAGCTAGAAGACAACTGTAAAGAAGTTTCCAACTTTAGGGAACTTCATGGGAATGACATGTATTTTTATGCTAAGTGGGAGTGAGACTAGGGAGATGTTAGAGCAATTTAGCTTAATCTAGCTCATCCAAATTCATGAATGTATTTCACAGGATGGTTGGGTGTGTACACAAGTGGACCGAATTTAAAAACATCTTTTCTATAGCTGGCAGACTAGTTTCACTTATGAATTTCTCACTCCGTTGGTCTCCACCCACAAGGAAAAAATATTTGTGCTATCTGCCTCAGAGTTCTTGAGTAACTCTGAGGTGTGTCCATTCATTCAGAGACGGTAATCCCAGGCTGACCTAAATCAGCAGTGCTGAGGATGATATTAACATGATGGTGTTATGCAGTGCTGGGATTGCACCCAGGGCTTCTGGGGCACCAGCAAGCACTTCACTAGTAGAGCTACATCCTCTGACCCACTTGTTTCTTTTCTGAGACAGGTTTCAGCATGAAACAAAGACTGACCTGAAACTCCTAACGTTCCTGTCTCAGTCACCAAAGTGCAGTACTACGTGCAATGTTACAGAAACATGTTTATTTTATTTTCATTTTGTAAAATTAAATTATTGCATTTTTGCAGTATTTCAATTTGGGGCATGCATGAGCATCCATGTGGCTAGAAATATGTTCATACGCTCATCTATATTTTTAGGTGTACCAATAGACGGCTCTGACTTTGAAAGATTGCTATTCTAAAAAGTCTACACTTACCACACTGAAACACATTAACTCATTAGGCTTGATACCCGCAAGAACTTCACCAAGAGCGCTTAGATCCTAAGGCCAAAATTATTTTCATTTATTTCTCCTTTAGATCTTAGGAAAACGAGCATCATAAGTCATGCTTTCTTCCAATGCCAGGGTGCTATTTCTGAAGGCCTACCAAGTGGACTAACAAAATCCCTAAATGGATCCAAAAGAAGAACAAACAGCACCGGACCAGAAAGCCAGGTAGTGGCTGCTCTAGGGCCGACCTCGCCGGAAATCTCGCGGGAGAGCGTCTCGTTACTCCAGTTCCGGTCTCTGCCCACCGGCGGTCTATCGCTTCCACCGCTGCTAGGGCGCGCCGGAACTTTTGTCAGCAGGAACCGGTGTTCGCTGCTCAGTGTTGTCGGCCGGCGTCTAGGCGACGAGGGTGCTGGTCTCTTCCTCTGGCTGCGGCCGCTGTGGAGCTCAGCCCGACCAGTCTGGTTGAGGTGCAGGGTCGCCTGGACTGGGTCTATGGTCGCTCCGTGGGCCGCTCTGCCGGCTGGTGCTTTTGTAGTAGGGCAAGCAGAAGTCCATGGCAGGGAACTTCTGGCAGAGCTCCCACTAGTGAGTGAGCTTCCATTTTCTCGCGCGGGACCGGTTCTGGGGCACTGGGAGGACTGGGCCTGCGGCTCCCTCGGGGCTTCCGTCCTGGCGGCTCTTGGAGAGTGGGTGAGCCCTCCCCGAGAAGTTGGGGGTCCGAAGCCTACTGCGCTTGGCTTGCCGGCTTTCCTTCTTGGGGCGGATTTCGGGAGCCGTGTGTGTTGGGGGGGGGGGGGGGGGGCGGGAATATGAGACTAGTAAGAGGACCGATCTCTGAAGGAAGATTTTGAATTTTGGAGTTAGCTGAATGGGATGATGTGGGCACAGGCACATTGTAGCGTTGTGAGAGTATAGCTTCCTTTTGCTAGCCTTTGTTGAGAGAAACGATATTATAATCTCTTGTCATTCGCCTTACTTGAAGATTTAATATTTATTTACTCAGAGGAGAGGAAAGAGTCGTCCTTGATTTTACCTGCTGCTTCCTGGCTCTCCTTTATGCCTAGGTTGTCGATCCGTTTGTTCGCCGCAGCCGCCGCTCCCCCCACCCCCCATCCCAGGGTATCTGTGTAGCTCTAGCTAGCAGTCCTGGAACTCCCTCTGTAGAGCAGACTGGCCTCGAGCTCAGAATCCCAAAGCCTGGGATTAAAGCAGTGTGCTACCACTTCCCGGCTTCTAGATTGGTGTTTGTGCCCCTAGAATGTAGCAGGTGCTATATAAAATGTAGCGCAGGTTCTCTCCAAAATGTATCCATTTTCTTTTTTTTTTTTTAAAATATTTATTTATTTATTATGTATACAATATTCTGTCTGTGTGTATGCATGCAGGCCAGGAGAGGGCACCAGACCTCATTACAGATGGTTGTGAACCACCATGTGGTTGCTGGGAATTGAACTCAGGACTTTTGGAAGAGCAGGCAATGCTCTTAACCTCTGAGCCATCTCTCCAGCCCCTCCATTTTCATTCATTAGCCAGTGTCTTCAATTTTGCCTTAAAAGTGTGTATTCTCCAGATTTTTATCTCTTTAACCATTTAAATGAACGGTGGTGTCTGTCAATGAGCATAGAAGGACTAAAGTAGTATTTGAAACATTTATCACTAAATGCATTTGTTAAACACGCAGGAAGTTGTGTGATTGGGTCAAGCTTTGAGCAGGTTTTCCACTGAATACTTAAAAACTGAATGGGACTTGATAGAAGACATCTTAGTTTAAGCAAACTTTATGGTAAAGAGAATAACAAAATTTTAGTTCTGTGAATTGGATTGGCTCTTTTTCCTCTTTGCCTAAGAACAGGAGAGAAGACAGTGAGTTTGGAAACCTAATTCTGGAAAGCATGTTTTCCGTTGCTACAAAGTGATTCTAGGGAGATAAAATGCTCATGAAACATCCCTATGGGACATGTTATTTTCATTGTTTTCACTCACTGAGATATCTTAGTTGAAATACAGGAGGAGACTCAGAAAAGTGAGGTTGAGTTTGAGCCTGTAATCCTGGTACTCGGACACTGCCTTGATTGTCTGAGTGATGTAATTCTGAAACAAAGTAAGTCTTTGGATGTAGTAAGAGTCTGTCTTTGAGGAAGGGCCTTACTATAAAGGGTCTGAGAACCTGTGTGCTGCTGCTTTGTACAAATGGCAGGATGGAGGAAATCCAGAAAGAGGTAGAGAGTCTTTGAAAAACATCAAGAGCATTTTCAAGAAAGGGTTTCTCTGTGTAACAGCTCTGATTGTTCTGGAACTCGCTTTGTAAACCAGGCTGCCCTTGAACTCACCAGCCTCTTCCAGGATTAAAACTGGTTCTTTACCCTCAAGTTCTCCTGTTTTTCCTCACATGACCTTGCTGAGACTGAGGTGGGCTGCTGAAAAGCTAGAGAAATCAGATGAATAACTTCCCTGAGAGTTTAAAATGGCATCCATAGCATCCTTATTTATTATTGACCTGACCTAACGTGAGTCAACCACAACAGATTGGCACAGAGTTGTTTGAAAATAGTCAGCAAAGCAGTCATAAGTAACGTCAAAAACCTAAGGGTTTATTTATGTATTTATTTATTTATTTATTTATTTTGTTTTTTTTCGAGACAGGGTTTCTCTGTAGCTTTGGAGCCGCCTGTCCTGGAACTAGCTCTGTAGACCAGGATGGTCTCAAACTCCTGCCTCTGCCTCCCGAGTGCTGGGATTAAAGGCGTGCGTCACCATCGCCCGGCTAAACCTAAGGGTTTAAATTGGTTTACTAACAAGACTGTGAAACTTTTAGGGGCGATAATGAAAATGCTAGCTGAAAAATATTTCCTTAGAAAAATGTTTAATCTCCTCTGAGGCAGAATGTACTTGAAACAGGTGAGCATGTTTTGAAGAACTCAAGCCTTTCATTGTTGAATCTAGTTTACTCAATATTTTAGAGACCTATTTAGAAGAACGAACGCTGAGGCTATAATGTATGTATGTTTCAGAAGTAGGCTAGTGTTCTGTCTCCCTCTGAGCTACATTCCTAGCCAAACCTGTCTTTTTCTTAAGGATGTACCTTCAAAAAGAAAAGAGAAGAAGCTGGGTGTGGTGCCGCATGCCTTTTTTCCTAGCAGTGATGGCTGAGGTGGGTTAGGGGTGTCATTGGCAGGAAGATCTCTTGAGTTTGAAGCCAAGCTGGTCTACAGGGTGAGTTTCAGGACAGCTATGGCTACACAGATAAACCCTGTCTCAGAGGGAAAAAGGGGGGGACAGTGGAATAAGAATATGATCAGCTTATTAAATCTTAGTATTACAGGTATTTTTGCTTGTTGGCTTTCTATACCATGGTTTAACATCTTTACTTTTTCTAGTTTGCAGTGGATTTTGGATAAACAAGATCTGTTGAAAGAGCGCCAGAAGGACTTAAAGTTTCTCTCAGAAGAAGAGTATTGGAAGTTACAAATATTTTTTACAAATGGTAAACTTTAAATTGGTTGAAATGGTATAGTATAGCTGGTCACCTTTGAAACTCTTGTGTGGTAATTTTCAATGGATTATTACAGAATAGTTAGTGATTTTATTTGTACATTTATTATTTTACTGTTCTGGGTAACACTTTACACCTTATGTGTCAGAAGCACAGTTTTAGCTAATCTCAGGCATTTCTAGTGCAGTCCCTTTTTTTTTAATATTTATTTATTTATACAATATTCTGTCTGTGTGTATGTCTGCAGGCCAGGAGAGGGCACCAGACCCCATTACAGATGGTTGTGAGCCACCATGTGGTTGCTGGGAATTGAACTCAGGACCTTTGGAAGAGCAGGCAATGCTCTTAACCGCTGAGCCATCTCTCCAGCCCCTAGTGCAGTCCCTTTTAAGGTTGACTAAAACAAAGTAAAAATAAATGATTCTTTAAACTGACATCCTATAGTTGTCATTTTTACCTTATAACTTCACATTAGCAAGAAGGGGATTTAATCAAGATGCCTTTACTGTACTAGGATAGCTTTGTTGCTTGGTATTTTAAAAACAAATTGTATTTGTTTTATGTGTATGGGTATTTTGCCTGCATGTGTATATGTACACTGTATGTTGTGCCTGGTGCTGAGGAGGTTTGGATCCCTAGGGGCTGGAGTTACAAATGGTTGTGAACCTCCATGTGGGTGCTGGGAACAGAACTCGGGTCTTCTGCAACAGTAGGTAGTGATCTCAATCCTGAGCCATCTCTCAGTCCTCTCACCATGATCTTTAACTGTCACTTTCTGCAAATCTACCTTTCTCTTGTATAGAAGAGTTATTATGGATTTCTTGGTAAATAACAATATCTAGTTTAATTTTTAAAACTTTTTATATAGATAATGTGAAAAACATTAAAATGCATAGAATGTTTTCTATTCAACCTCCTTATTGCAAGATAGCTTGTAGGCAGTTTCTTTGTCTTGTTTATGCATATTGCTGAATTTGTAAGTCTTAGGCAGCTGTAGTTCAGAAGGTGTCAGAAGACCAGGTGGTGGCACGCTCCACTAATCCTGCACTGGGAGGCAGAAGCTGGAGGAACTCTGAGTTCAAGGCCATTCTAGTCTTTCAAAAAGAAAGATAGAAAAAGAGAGAGGAAGGAAGGAAGGAAGGAAGGAAGGAAGAAAACAGGGTGTCAGAGAGTACATAGGTTGGGTTGAGTGGACAGAATCCTAAGATATAGAAATTTTGTTAGATGTTAATGTTATTATAATGCCAGATGATACATTTAAATTTTATTATTTCTCTTTTAGTTATCCAAGCTTTAGGTGAACATCTTAAATTAAGACAACAGGTCATTGCTACTGCTACAGTCTATTTCAAGAGATTCTATGCCAGGTATGGCTTTTATTTATTTCTTTGTTTGTTTTTGTTAGCCTGTTTGAAATTATCTTCTAAGCTGGGCGGTGGTGGCACATGCCTTTAAGCAGGTGGATCTCTGTGAGTTTGAGACCAGCCTGGTCTACAAGAGCTGGTTCCAGGACAGGCTCCAAAGCCACAGAGAAACCCTGTCTTGAAAAAACAAAAAAAAAAAAGAAAGAAAGAAATTATCTTCTTATTCCCATCTGCCATATATAAGTAAGTCACTAGTTTCTATAGAGTTATGATTTCCTGCTCCCCTATCTCCCAGTGGGTATTTTTTAAATGGACATTATTTAATTCTTGTCTAATTATGTTTTAGGTATTCCCTGAAAAGTATAGATCCTGTATTAATGGCTCCTACGTGTGTGTTTCTGGCATCCAAAGTAGAGGTATAAAACAATTTTTGTTCTTCATCAGAGTATAATCCTTACATATGTCTTTTTTAATATTGCCTTTGTATAGATCATAGGGAGTAATTTATACAAGAAAATATACACATCTTGAAAATGTACACATATTTATTAAATATGGCACTTATATCATCAGGTGCTTTAATGAGACCCTTTATACGTTTTTGTTTAATCCTATAACATTGGCGTATACAGCAGTAGTATCTCTGTAGGGTAAAAGGGCCTTGACCTTGACTTGAAATGAGACTGAAGCCAGTGAAAAAATACTCTGCCCCTGACTTGATCCCAAGCCTGAGATGAGGACCATGAAAAAGAATCTTGGAAATCTCTGCTAACCAAGAAACCCTATATGAAGCCTGTCTTCTACTCAGTTTCCTGCTGCTTCTCATCCAAGCAGAGGCAGCCACTCTCCTGGGTTCTTCTCTCCCAGTAAATTTCTTATGTAAGGTTTGTTGTGCGATGTGACTTTGTGGTATGCCTGGACTCCCAACTGCCAGGATGCCTTTCCGGGAGAGATACAACACTTTCATAAGGGAAGCCTTTCTTCTCAGAGCCTTAACCCTTGCTTTGGGGAAATCTTCCCCTCGGCTGCCAATACCTCCATCAAGTAAGCGTTTCCCCTCAGAGCCCCCTCTAATGGGCAAGCTTTTCCATTGAGAACTGTAATATTTTGATAGGGAAGCCTTTCCCCTCAGAGCTATAACACTTAGAATCCCCGTTTTATAAATGAGACATAGACAGAGCAGCAGTCATGCACTAGTCGGTGGCACAGCCAGTACTGTGCTACTAATAATCTGGTTCTTTATCTTAGGACTTAATTGCTTTGCTACCTTTGAAATATATTGTTTGGCTGACTGTGGTGTGTACACCTTTAATCCCAGCACCTGGGGGCAGAGGCAGGTTTGTTCTCTGAATTTAAGGCCAGTCTGACCTAATAGTGAGTTCCGAGTTCAAAGACAGCCAGAGCTACATAGTGAGACCCTGTCTCAAAGCAACAACAAAAAGACATTGTTTGGTGCTAAGTACCACAACTTACCTGCTATAGCCTAAGAATGTCTCTGCTCCTCTCCCATATGCTTTTTCTTTATTCCTGTCTTTTCTGGCAACAAGCAATAGAGGGAAAGTGAAAGGGTAGGCAAGGAATAGGAAATATATATAGATAGCTCTGTAGACTCTAACAAGGAAGAGTGTGGGTAGTGGGAGCAGAAAAGGTAATTAAGAGAGAAGACAAATAAGGACTTGGCCCAGCAACTGGAATTCTGCCCAACTTACTTTTTCAGTGTTGTTGAGAAAGTTCATCTTTCAGCTGTAACCCAAATAGTAGCAGATTCTGAGAACTACTTTTCTTAACTGATCCACACAATCTTTAATCTGTTGTTTCTATTCTTGGTAAAGTTTTTAGATTAATAATTGTATTCATGTGAATTGAATGTGATCTTAACCTAGTAAGTTTACATTTCTTTTGTGTTCATTTTGATTTAGAAGCATCCATGGCATCTTTTTGAATTATCTCCCAAGAAGTACTAAAATCCTTTATAGGAGCTTTTGTTCACTCTGCCCATGGGTTTTGAGATAAAGTTTGAATAAATCTAACTATGGAAGGCAGTTGTAGACTGCTTGCCTAGCGTCTATGAGGCCTGGTTTCAGTCCTTATGGCTGGATTTGTGAAGGGTTTTTTGGAATAAAGAGGTGTTGTAGGTGAGGTATATTTTCAAAGTTGTTTTTTTTTTCTTAAAAACCTTTTTCATACACTATATCTTGGTCATGTCTTTCCCTCCCCCAACTTCTCCCAGATCCTCTTCCCTTCCCACCCAATTTAGTGTTTTTTTTTTTCTCTCTCAAACCAAATAACATAAAAAATCAAAACAAACCAAAATGCAGAAAGAAATGGAAAGCCTGCAAAAAAATAAATAAATAAAACAGTAACAAAAACTATGAAGTTCATTTTGTTGGCCAACTACCCCTGGGCATAGCGCCTGCTCTAGTGTGGTCGACGTGCCCAGTGTCATTCCATTGGAGAAAACTGACTTTCCCGCTCCCAGCAGGTATCAATTGAGATGGCTTCTTCATTCCCCCCTCAGTGTATTGCATTACATTTTATCTCTAACTATGACCAAATCTCTGTTTTGTCTAATTGAATAGAAATTGTGTACAAATCATATTTAACATACTGTCTCTAGTTTTTAGTTCTACATATTAGGGTTTGAAGTTTAAATTTAAATATATATATATATATTTATATACACATAGATTAGGTTGTAGAGTACAGATTATTCCCCCACCTTACCCCTAGTTTTTTGAGACAGGGTTTCTCTGGGTAATAGTCCTGGCTGTCCTGGAACTAGCTTTGTAGACTGGCTTCAAACTCATAGAGATCTGCCTGCCTCTGCCTCCCAAGTGCTGGGATTAAAGGCGTGTGCCACCACCGCCTGACTAGAATACAGATTTTTAATCGAACGTGTTTGAATAGTTTTTAATTTGTTAAATAAAGAACCAATTCTTTTCTGACTTTAAAAGGAAGCAAATGATTTATATCTTGAGTGATTTATATGAAATTAAATACGAGTATATTTAAATTACATTACATGATAAAATTTAGTTATTTTATAGTGGTAGTATATTAAGTTGAAAAGCCTAAGAAGCCTTATATTCCATTATAAGCTTCATTCTTTCAGAAAGGTTGGTGTTATATGGTCTTCTGAGTAATATCGCATTTGTCTGTTCATTGACTGGTTGGTTGATTAATTGTGCTAAGAATTGAACACAGGCAGGCCTTACACATTCTTGGCAGGCAAGCAATATACTTCTGAGCTATATCTCCAACCCAAATTATTGAAATTTTAAGGAAAGGTAATACATTTAGAAATTTAAATACTTCATAGATTAAGTAGGAAGAAACTGAGCAGACTGTGAACATGAGAAGAGCTTGGAAAAACTGTTTTGGGTAGATCTCAGGTATCTTTAATGTTTATTGGGTTAGTAAGTACTTGATCTCATTCACTTTTCTCTAGGAATTTGGTGTAGTCTCAAATACAAGATTGATCGCTGCTACTACTTCTGTATGTAAGTGCAAAAAGTGTATTCTGCTTTAAGGCTGAAATCTAAAGAAAGCTCCGTAACATACAGATTTTGTTTTTTTTATGAGCCACATGTAAGTGGGTTTATTACACAACTCCAAAGAATATCTTTAGCATATTAGACAGGAAAAAAAAATGCTTGAAAAGATGTTTTTACTGATGTAGTGGTGCAGACCTGTAATCTCAGTGCTTGGGAGGTAGAAGTAAAGGATTAGGTGTTCAAGGCTAGCCTCACCGACATAGTGATTATTGGACCACATGAGACTATCTCTAAAAAACCAGGGTTCTTTTTTGTTTGTTTAAGTTTATTTTTATTTTATGTTCATTGGCGTTTTGCCTGCATGTATGTCTATGTGAGGATGTCAGAAGCCTTGCATCTGGAGCTAAAGACAGGTATGAGCTGCCATGTCGGTGCTAGGGATTTAATCCTGGTCCTCTGGAAGAGTAAGCAGTGCTCTTAACTGCTGAGCATCTCTCCAACCCTGAAATTTCTTTTCAATTTATTTCTATTATTTTATGTGTACGAGTGTCTTGCCTACATGTATATCTGTGCACCTCATTTTGCTTGGTGCCCAAGGAGGTGGTGAGCCTCCTTGTGGATGCTGGGATTTGAACCCAGGTCCTAGGCAACAACAAGAAATACTCTTCACCACTGACAACTCTCCAGCCTCAAAAACAAGATTTTTGTGTGTTTTTTGCTTTTTCAAGACAGGGTTTCTCTGTGGTTTTGGAACCTGTTCTGGAACTAGCTCTTGTAGACCAGGCTGGTCTCGAACTCACAGAGATCTGCCTGCCTCTGCCTTCCAAGTGCTGGGATTAAAGGCGTGCGCCACCACCACCCGGCTCTCAAAAACAAGTTTTTACATCCATTATGATACTACTTTTTTTTTTTTGATCAAATCTCATCTGAAACTTAGGCTCCTCCAGCTTCTACTTACCAAGAAGTATTATTAATCTCCTGTTGAGATTACAGGTATGGGCCACCATGCCTAGTTTAAGACAGTACTTTTCAGTGGTGAAAAATGAGCTGTATTGATGGGAATTATGTATTATCAAACCTTCAAGTTGTGTGGTACAGGAAAGAATGCTGACTGTGGGCTGGAGAGATGACTCAGCGGTTAAGAGCACTGACTGCTCTTCCAAAGGTCCTGAGTTCAGTTCCCAACAACCACATGGTGGCTCACAACTATCTGTAATGAGGTCTGGTGCCCTCTTCTGGCCTGCAGGCATACACATAGATAGAATATTGTGTACATAATAAATAAATAAATTAAAAAAAAAAGAATGCTGACTGTATAGTCAGTCAGCTGAGTTAATTTTTGTTTTTTTGGCATTTTGAGATAGGATGTCACTTTATAGCCCTGGTTGTCCTGGAACTCACAGAGATCTGTGACCCGCCCAGCAGGTCCTAAGTTACTCCAGGGTCCTGAAGAGGCACTATCTGAAAGATGGGGGGGGGGGGGGGGAGGGAGACGGACGCCAAGCAGTATTCCTTGTCAAGGCATCCCATTTATTGAAGCAAGTTTCATGTCTTAAATACTCCTCAGAAAGGAGCTAGGGAAAGGGGGAAAGGAAGGAAGGGCTCGGTAGCTAGGCAACTAAGTAGGGCAGTTTGGCAGCTAAGCAGGGCAGTTGCAAGGTCAGTGGCTTCTGCTGTTAGTGATAAGCAGCAAGCCTTGCAGACACTCTGTGGTGCTTTCCAGAGCTTGAGTCTCCACGATCAGCACATAATGTTTTGGCTAACTTTAAGTTTTCTTGTCTCAAGATTTTTACTTCAAGGCCCTATGAGATGTGAGAAAGGGGAAGCTTGAAATGGCGCCTGACAGATCTGCCTCCTGAATGCTGGGATTAAATTGAATTAAAATTAAATTAAACTTTTATCATTATGTCCAGCAACTCTTGTGTTTTTAAAGCATTCTTTTAAATTATGTGTAGGTGTGTGTTTGCATGTGGGCACATGCATGTGAGTGTAGGTGCCCAAAGAAGCCCAAGGCATCAGTCCCCTGCAGCTAAATTTTCGTGTGTGTGTAGTTGTATGTGGTGGGCATATGTACTTGTATAAGTGCATACATGTCAAGACCTGAGGTTGATGTATAGAATCATCCTACATTTCTCTTGTACCTTATTTGTTGAGGCAGGGTCTCTCAAACCCAGAGCTTGCCAGTATGACTAGTCTTGTCAGTAGCCAGCTTCCTATGCGGGAACTCCTGTCCCTGCTTTCTGAGGCTGAATCAGAGACGGACTGCCACACATGTAATTTATGTGTCTGGGGATCCAGACTCTGGTTTCCTCATGCTTGTAGCACTTCAACTGCTGAAACATCTTCCTAGACCACTTCTTAGGCTGAAGGGTAGAAGTTGGTTGTAAAAGTTGGTAATAAAACCATACATATGTCACCTTAATGGTGCTTTGAATTGTTTTATGGAAACATTTAATCTATTTTCTCATCTGCAAGATTAGAGGTATTATGAAGATAAAATCAGTTAATATGTACAGCATGTTGAACAATGCTTTGCTATTTCTTTTCTAGAATTATTATAAAAAATACCCAATTGGATATTTAAACAGAAAGGTATTTTCTCTAAGCTCTAGAGTCTGAAGATCCAAAAATCAGGGCACCAGCAAGTTTGGTTTCTCTGTGGCCTCCTTTAGCTGTTATGGCTGTTCTTTCATTGCCCTTTGTGTACCTACATCCTTTCTTTCTCTTTGTTTTCTAAACTTTGTTTATTTTATACATATAAGTATCTTGCCTTCATGTATGCCATGCTGGTGCTGTGGAGATCACCCCTGAAACTGAAGTGATAGATGTAAATAGTGGTGGCCATGTGGATGCTCGGAACCAAACTTAAGTCCCCTGCAAGAGCAGAGTGTTCTTAACCACGGAGCCATCTTTCTAGCCATCTCCCGTGTGTCTTCAGCATCATGTTAAAACAGCAGTAGTCGTGTGTGGTGACACATGCCTTTAGTCCCAGCACTTGGGAGACAGAAGTGGGCAGATCTTTGCGAGTTTGAGGCATCCTGGTCTACATAGTGAGTTCCAGGACAGCCGGAACCACATAGTGAGACCCTGCCTTGGGTGGAGCAGCAGTTAGACATTCTGTTGCTGTGAAGAGTATTGAGTGAAGCAGCTCTTTTGTTGTTGGTGCCGGCTTTTTTGTTTTGTTTGTGAAGCAGCTTTAAAGGAAGGATTCGCTTTGACTCATAGCTTCAGTTTTCTGTCTGTGGTTTGTTGCTTCCATCACTTTTCGCCTCTGGCGGTGCAGAAACATCACAATTGAAGGGTGTGGTAGAGGGGACTAAGGACAAGAAGGATCTCTTTAGACACTCTCCCAGGGATCCACTTCCTCTGCTTCCACCACCCACGGCTCTACCGTCTCCCATTTGGATGTCAGTATGACTCAGTCAGTGTTCAGCAACTTCATCTTTCAGTGAAAATCACCTTTCAGGGATTATATCGTCCAGCTGATGACTTGGCCTTCAACATATGAGTCAGGGTGATACTTCAGTCCAAACCATATCAAGCACTCCTGTAGAATTATGTTCCACTCTCATGTTCTAATTAATTTAACCTTTACCTCTTTTTAAAAGTGATTTATTTGTGTGTATGTGTTTGGTGTTTGCCTGTGCATGTGCATATGGGCACCTGAAGAAACAAAAAAAAAAAAAAAGTGTTCCATTCCCAGGAGCTATAGTTACAGACAGATGTGAGTCATCTCACGTGGGTGAGAACTGAACTCTGGTCCTCTGCAAAAGCAGTGAGTGTTCCTAACCACTGAGCCTCCTTATTGCTGTAAAGGTCCTCACTAGGTATAATCCCCTTCTGAGGTAGTACGGATTAGGATTTAAGCATGTACTTTATTGTTTTTGTTTGTTTGAGCTTTTTGAGACAGTGAGTTTTACTACATAGCCTTGGAGAGATGGCTCAACCAATGGCCTGAGTTGGATCCCTAGATGTCCTCTGAATTCTACCCATACCGTGGTGTACATGTGTGTGCGTGCACAAACACAGGATAAATGATAAATGTTTAAAAATGTGGATCCAGTAGTAGTAGCATCTTTAATCCCAGCACTTGGTGAGTTTTAGGTCAGCCAGGGCTACACAGAGAAACCCTGTTTCCAAAAGCAAAACAAAACAAAAAATGGATCATATCATTTCAGCATAGGTGGAATAGAAGCTGATGGCATAAGGTGAATCTAATCTCAGTGCAGGTGTTGGGTGTCCGAGTCCAGGGATTAGTGACATGTATCAATTACAGAATTTTTGGAAGCAGGATTTTACTCTCTAGACCAGATTGGCCTCACACTCAGAGAGACCCACCTGCCTCCCAATTGCTGGGATTAAAAGCATAAACCACTGCGCCAGTCCTTTACAGACGTTATTTTGCTTTGTTGATTCTCTGCCATTAATAGGAACCTGCTTTATTTGTATACTTTACATACTGCTTACATATGAAGGAATTCTAAAACCCAGAAACCTTACTAGGGATATTTTCAAAATGAAACAAAAAATGTGAATTTCCTCATGTTTAAATAGTTCTAGGTTTCAGATCTTGTGAATTTCCTCATGTTTAAATAGTTCTAGGTTTCAGATCTTGTGAATTTCCTCATGTTTAAATAGTTCTAGGTTTCAGATCTTGGCAGATGTTACCTAAATGAGTTGTAGAGAACTTCATTTATAAAATAACTTTTTTGAAAATTTAGTACATAAAATGCACAGAATTCCTTATATTGAGTGAAGGAAATCATTTGTACCAATGGAGGGAATTATAAACCAGAGTTGCTGGGGCTTCCAGTTGCTACTCTAATTGATTTAAGTATGCATTCTGATGTCTTAAATACTATTTTCTCAATAGTGCTTAAGTATGTATAAGACTTCTTGAGGAGATAGTTAACAGGTTTTCCATTTGTACTTTATTAGTGAGTACAAATGGTAACTGTGTTGTATAAGAAAATGACCTTGCATGTATCATGGATGCAGCCGAGCTCTATTAAGTTGAGGCCTACATAGCAGGTTCCAGACTAGCCAAGACTACATAATGATACCTTGTCTCAAAAAATAAAAAAACTAACAATAAATAAAAACATGTATGTGTTTCTTTATAAATAAATACATTTACATGTTTTTGTATTTTGGTAAAGAAACAGTTATAAGTTCAGAAAGTATCAATTAGTTTAAAAAAATTCCTTTAGTCTCAGCACAGCTAATTTTGGTATATTGCCCTAACTTCTTTCTCACCTTGATTTTTTTAGAACTTGCTTTATAAGTGTATTCATTCTAAGATAAATTACAGGCAAACAGAAAAATACTACTCTAGAGTTAAAAAGATTTTAGAGATGATAGGATCTAGTGATTTTTTTTCAGTCTTTTAATCTTTTAAAAAGCAGTAAAAGCTTTTTCCTTTTCTTCCTCCTTTTCCCTTTTTCCCTATCCTTCTCACCCACTTCCCCTCTTTCCTTTTCCTTTAGCTTTTCAGTCTTCTTGCCTCTATACTCCAGAGTACTGAGAGTGCAGGCACATGATACCATTCCAGCATAAATGTTTATATATATAATTGTAGCTCTCCAATTGTATAGGCAAGTGTGCTTCCAACCACTCAATCATTGTCCTCCCTAGAAACAAAGCTCTATCTTTTAAGTAGTTCTGAGATCTCCTACTAAAGGTAATAAGTACAACATACTGTCTAAGAGTTTATGCTGCATTAAAGGAATTTTGGATAAATTCATGTTGGCATTTTCTTGGTTTTAATTGTTTTGTTTTGTTTCTTATAGTAAAAACTAGATTTTCATATGCCTTTCCAAAGGAATTTCCTTACAGGATGAATCATGTAAGTATATTATATAAAATTATGTATTCTGTATTAACTAGCTTTATTCTATATTAGAATAAACTTCATAGACTCTTAGAAATTGTAGCTTTAAGTACTATAAAATACAAACATTATTTTACATTAAACCTCAGTAACTTCTCTCTCTATATATATATATATATTTTTTGGTAATACTTAACAGTAGTGATTATTACTCTCGAATGCCAGTTAAATCACCTTAGGAAGTTTTTGTTGTTTTTTGTTGCTGGGATTGGTTTTTTGAGGCAGGGTTTCTCTGAGTAGCCTTGGCTGTTCTTGAACTCTCAAACTCACTCTGTAGACCAGGTTGGCCTCTCCCTCCTAAGTGCTGGGATTTAAGGCATGTGCCACCATGCCCAGCTTAAATTTGTAGTTTCTAACAATTCTAACAGGATTTTTTTTTTAATAGTAAGAATTCTGGGATTATATCTCAGTAGTAGAGTTAATTGCTTAGCATATTTGAGACTTTGGGTTCAATTCCAAGTTACTCCTATTCCTCAAAAAAGAAAAATATATGATATTGCCTTTTTTGTTTTGTAAGGATTAAAAACATATAACAGTAAAATGCAATTTTTTGCCAAGTTCCCAGTACTGGGAAGGCAGAGGAGGCAAATCTCTGTGATTTTGAGACCAGCCTGGTCTACATAGTCAGGCCTGCCTGGTCTCAAAAAACAAACGAAACTTGTAATTTTTATTGTGAATGTTATTGATTATATGTTTCTGCATTTATTTTCTTGATTTAGAAATTTCATATAAGACTGGTAAATTAATTTATCTGTATCTATAAGTTATTAATTTAAGCAAAGAATATTTACATAATCATGTTTGTTCTCACTGGATGATTTTTTTTAACAGATACTAGAATGTGAATTTTACCTTTTAGAATTAATGGTATGTATATATTTTTTATAATACAGTAAAACGGTATAATGAATTGTTCTGAAGGGAGGTAAATTTTAAATTTATCAAAATGATATGTGATGACAAATCACAGAAATGTATAAGCATAATCACTTATGAGGCCTGTAAAATGATTTCTATATCTGACTTGAGCTTAAAGAAGTAGTTTTATTATAACTATAATAAGGATTGCAAGCAAATAAGTCAGAAAGTTAAACCACTGTAAACTTTGTGCACAATTTGTGTGTGTGTGTGTGTGTGTGTGTGTGTGTGTGCGCGCGTGCGTGCGTGTGGGTGGGCGGGCGGGCGGCGGGTGGGCAGAGTTAAAGATAGATTACTCTTGGGCAGAATTCTGCTCCTCCATTGAGGATTATGACTTTACAGACTTATACGAGGTTTCAGTGTGTTGCAGATGTCACTTTGAGTCTCTAAGGGAAAGATGGATGCTAACTGTCTGCCACCTGATTTACCAAATTATATTCCAGACAGATCACTGCCTTCACTGTCATAGTAGCTCAGGGTCATATTTGAGCAAGAAATTAAGACGGAAGCAAGTATAAGAGAGAAATTAATTTGAACTACATAGAACAATAAGTTGGAAAATGATATTGTTTTATGTTGTAATGAATTTGCTTTTGTACATATATATTTTTTTAAACTGTCTCTAGGATTGTTGCTTGATAGTGTATCATCCTTATAGACCTTTGCTCCAGTATGTGCAGGACATGGGCCAAGAAGACGTGTTGCTTCCCCTTGCATGGTAACTAGAACAGAAGTTACTCGTATATGACTTGTTGCTGACAACTAATAACATGGTTTAGTATTTTAAAATACCTCAAGATGTTTTGTATTCAGCAAACTATCTGCTTGATAAATATTAATAGCTATAGTGGCATAAATTATAAGGTCATACCTATCTTGAATTACCTATTTGATAAGTATATCATCTGTTAATGTTTTGTATCAAAACAAGACTTCACATGAAAATTGAGAATAAATTAATTTTTGAAAATACTTTTTGGTTGGATTCAATACAAATCCATTTCAAATTATATCTTTAATTTTACTTCTCATTTTTCAAAAATGTGAAAATTTTTATTTAACATAATTTGTTGTGAGGTCCCAAAATTGAAAATATACTCACTAATACATGAAAGTTATGTTCAGTAATGTGTACCTCTTTATTGTCACATTCATGGGTCCGTTGTTTTGCCTCTGTTTTCATCTTTGTAACTGCTCTTAGTAATAGAACAGAGATGTAAGTGTACAAAGATGGGAAATCTGGCTCTCTCTGGGAGGAGTTACATAGTCAGTGCAGTGGTTGTGCTGTTAGTGATATTAAGATTTACATTTCTACAGGAGGATAGTGAATGATACCTACAGGACGGATCTTTGTCTGCTGTATCCTCCTTTCATGATAGCTTTAGGTATGTAAATTTGGAGTACCTTTATTGATTAAACTGTTTTTGCCTATTTAGGTCATCTTAAAATACAATTCGCTTGATTGTAATTTATGTTTTTATGAAGTAGTAGACTAATGTGAGCTCTTGATAATATATGCTACACCCCCTTTCTTGGTAATTTTCACCCCTCAATTCATTTAAAATATTTTAATCAGACCTAAACAATTTTTTTGTTTGCTGAAAGTGGAAAATTCAGGTTTAAATCTGCTGATATTAGTTTGTCTTAAGTAACTGGTTCTATTTTCCATTTCTGGATCCCATTAAGTGCTCAAGAGCTTAAGGCAGAGGCATCTGTGCTCTTGTTGCTAGAGTTAGCTGGCGCCCACAGTGTGGAGAAGGCACGCAGGGTTGGCTAGAGGTATCTCTGCAGAAGACTAGATTTAGACATTGCTTTCTTTACAGTTATTGAAACACTTATCTAATTTTTCTGAGTTTGTGAAGTTGTGGGAGGGATAATAACTTTATAAAAAATTGTGTCAATAGTTAAGTGAAATGCCCTATAGAACCCAGAATGTCTGTTATATCGTAGGCATTTAATAGTTTATGCTCTTTTCTCTCTCCATCTGTTGATTTTCATGGCTCCTTTTCTATAACCTCCCCTCTTTTTAAAAATTAATCCAGGTTTTTTTTTTAATATTTTCTCCATACTTAATTTCACTGGATGGATTTTCCCTCTCCTCAGTTTTGTTTTTTTCTTAATTTTATATAGAGTGCTCTACACATGCACCTGCAGGCCAGAAGAGGGCACCAGATCCTATTATAGGTGATTGTGAGCCACCCTGTGGGTGCTGGATATTGAATTTAGGTCCTCTGAAGAGTAGTCAGTGCCCTTAACTTCTGAGCCATGTCTTCAGCCCTTAAGACAGTCTTAAAAGCTTGTCCAACCAAACATGACTGTAGTGTAAAGGTCAATAAATGCCTAAGTGAAATATAGCTTTTTAAAATTTAGGTTTTATCCCCTGAGGTTGGGTTCCATTGGTTGAGAGCTAAAGATCAAGTTCTAGGGAGGGAAAGTCTGGGATAAGCATCCTGGGGTATTGGGTGTGGTCTGTCTCTATAGATAGCAAAGAGGTCACCAGATCATTAGTGATATCAACTCCTAGCTTTGAGGAGACACCCTGCATGATTAAGATTCCTGGTTTCTTCAGCAGTCTGTTGATACAAGAACTTTTGTACCCCCAACAAATTTTTTTAAGGCATAGCAGTACGTTGGTGAGGTGGGGCTTTATTTTCTGTCACTAACTTCTGGGTGTGATTTGACTACTTTGCACTAGTGTTCATGGGTGATTTTTTTCCAGTTTAATTTCTTGGACTTGTTTCTCTTATTAAAAAAAAAAAAATCTACCCTTAAGGTACTCACACTGTGACCAGTATACAGCGAAGACAGGGTGTCAAGAACTATCCTGCAACTAGAGATTTTCTTCTGTATCATTAAGTTGATAAAGTGGTTTGTTAAATGTTGGTTCACAATGTAGTGTGTGTGTGTGTGTGTGTGTGTGTGTGTGTGTGTGATCTCAACTAGTATCTAGACTTTTAAAAAAATTGTATTGGAAAATAAGATAAAATCTTTATGAAAATCTTTAGTTCTAAGAGTGTTTGCTGTTAAATTTGAACAATTGGTTCTCATTTTCTTTCTAGCTTGCCTACATGTAGCCTGTGTTGTACAGCAGAAAGATGCTAGGCAGTGGTTTGCGGAACTCTCTGTGGATATGGAGAAGGTACTTTTTTTGTTTTGTTTTTTGAAGATACAGTCTCACTGTACAGCCCTGCTCTGCCTGGAACTCTGGAACTTGCTATGTAGATCAGACTGGCTCGGATGCATGGGAAGTCACCTGCCTCTCTCTCCCAAGTGCTGGGATTAAGCATGTGCTACGAGGCTCTGCGTGATGTATGTTCTTTACATATTAATGCATTGTTAGTTTTTGCTACTGAGAGCTTTTCAAATATTTTCTTCTAGATTTTGGAAATAATCAGGGTTATTTTAAAACTATATGAGCAGTGGAAGAATTTTGATGAGAGAAAAGAGATGGCGACTATTCTTAGTAAGATGCCAAAACCAAAACCACCTCCAAACAGGTATATTTTAGACTTAATTACTAATTTGATTTCATTGTATAGTAAACTCTGTTATATTTTTCTTAGATTGTGTTATATCTTTTTCTAAAAATTTACACTAAAATTTCTTGATTTATGTTTATGTAATTTGTCTTGATAAATTAAGGATGTCTCAGTTTTAAGATAAATTTTCTGTCTAGTAACTTCCTAATGCAATGGAGGTCTATTACAGGTATCCCTCAACATATAGCCACATTCTGTACATAAATGGAACTGAATTAGGCAAATTTATTTCAAATTCAGATATAAAATGCTTGAAAATAGTCTTTCCATTTGGTTCTCTGCCGTTCCTCTCCCCTCAGTAATGATTATTTTATACATTTCAGTAACCATTTTCAAAAAATTTGATGATACTAAAGATAATAAATTTTGGCTTCTGAGTGATCCTATGATCCTTATAGCACACAGTTACATATAATTTTGCCATAAATGAACCTCCTCTGCTAAGAAGTTTTTGTTGTTTTAAATTAATCTGTTTAGTTGAGTGATCTGTGTATCAGATCATTCGAGGAAGAGAAACAGGTGAGAAGGAAAGTCAATTCTATAAGCTTAGTTGTTACTTAAAATGTTTACATGAGCCGGGCGGTGGTGGCGCACGCCTTTAATCCCAGCACTTGGGAGGCAGGGGCAGGTGGATCTCTGTGAGTTTGAGACCAGCCTGGTCTACAAGAGCTAGTTCCAGGACAGGCTCCAAAACCACAGAGAAACCCTGTCTCGAAAAACCAAAAAAAAAAAAAAAGTTTACATGACACTGAGACGCATTATAGACGCTGCTGGTTACAGTGATGTTACAGTTGAGAAGAAAGTGATGCTTAAGTGTTATGAGGAGCTGCTTAAGGCAGTCACTCAAACAGCTACCTTTGGATGCATTTTTTACAGAAGTTCCCTGAGTGATTCTCCACTAATGGCAGGGCCTGAAGCTGCAAGATGATGGTGGACAAGATAAGGCAATCTCCTATTGTCACAGTTCCTGGTATTTTCAGCTTTAGTTCTTTTTATTTTTATTTTAATAGTCAACATTTTTCTAGGAAATTACCATATTTTTGATGTATAAAAGTTTGTTGTCTTTTCCATATGATTTTATTATATCATTGGACAGCAGGTTGTTGTTGGCTTTTTTGTTTTTGTTTTTGTTTTTTGAAAAACACTTTGGATTTTCCTAAAGAATAAAAGTAGAGTTTTACATGTCAGATTTAATTTTGTAGGAAATTTGTCCAGAAGTTGTAATCTCTATGTTGAGTGATACCTGTAATAATAGTGAAATCTCAAACGCTAACTTAAGTCTTTGAGTGTATATGGACACTAACTTCCAGACTGCTTGTTGTGTATGAGGGCCCAAAGTTACAGAAGAATAAAAACATGAGACCAAATGCTAGTTTGCTGGGTTTTAATTTTTCTACAACTGTGTCTTATAATACAGGAATGTCTTTGTTCTGTAGAATAGTGCCACAGAATAATAAACTTCAGAAACTAGTAGTATCGGGTGTTGAAAATGAATCTTTTAATTGGCATAAACTTTCTTTCTTCCCCGTTTGAACAGCGAAGGAGAGCAGGGTCCAAATGGAAGTCAGAACTCTAGCTACAGCCAATCTTAGAACACCCGGAGGAATCCTGTAGTGGACCACTTGGAAGTAAAGCATGCAACAGTTTGAGTAAGGTCTTCACTGGAAATCAGATGCAAGCTATTGGGAATTCACTTAATTTTCACAAAATAAGTTTTTCTTACTTAATTTGATTCTAGTGTATAATTTATTAAATCTTAATTACAAAATTTTGTAAAGCTCTAAGGGGACCTATTTATACATACACAGACATTTCAAAGTTAACTTGTCTCACACAAATATAATAGCTTTTTCTTTTAATTAAGGCAGGAAACCTAACATGAAATGTCATTTGTTTAAATTTTTCTTTAGACATCGAGGGACCAAAAAAAAAAAAAAAGGACTTGTAAACTCAATAAGAACTCCCTACCCTCCCCAGTTAAATTTTAAAACGTTTTTTGTTTGGTTGGGTTTTTTTTGAGACAGGGTTTCTCTGTAGCTTTGGAGCCTGTCCTGGAACTAAGTAGACCAGGCTGACCTTGAACTCAGGGAGATCCACCAGTCCACGTCTCTGTCTCTGCCTCCCTAGTGCTGGGATTAAAGGCATGCACCACTACTGCCCAGCAAATTTTAAAGGTTTTTTTAAGAAATTAAATCTTAGGAAAACCTGGGATGTTTTGAGAATTATATTTATAATTTGGGGGAGATTAATCGAGAACTTAACTGATTTTTAAGATGTATTTTATTCAGTACTTTTTATATCATCACAGAAGATACTAGCCCAGCCTGTTAGAAAAGTGCAATATGTATGGTCTACTTTGACATTTTGAAGGTTATATTGACTTATTAGCTGTTTTGAAATGCTTGGAAACCTGAAAGAAAATTATTTGCAATTAATTCACAGTTAATAAACATTTTAAAAGTTTAATTTGGTTAATCAATGAAGGTGAAATTTTATTTACTTTTTTTTTTGAAGGTGAAATTTTAATGTTAATCTTTAATCTGTCCTGAGAATTTTTTATGAGATGCATACACCCCAGTCTAGTTTTGTGCTTTAGTGTGAGCCGACAGATGTGCAGCAAGTGTTCTGAGTCAAGAACCTAGTCAGGTTTTAGGCCAGTGTGATACTGGCTAGTCTTAATTTTCATGAGTATAGACTTGAAAATAAATGTTACATCTGTGAGATTGGTATCTCTGGAACTTCATAAATTACTCTTTTTCTTCAGACTTGAAGGAAATGACAAATAAAATTTGGAATAATGGGGTATGAGTGTGTAGTCTTGCACGTTTAAAAAATAAATCATGAAATAAATTACTAAGCATTGACTTCCTAGATAAATTGGAAGAATAAAAGTTAAGTTCTTCAGCTGTATTTACTAGTGTCTTAAGTTCATCTTGTTAAGAATCTTTCTGCATGCTAAATTAAAGCCCCCCCCCCAACTTTGTAAAGGGATGATTCCATATGGTTTATAATTAGATTGTAAGGAAAGTCTTGATTCCTTATGGAAAGTATCAAATGAGCTAGAAAGTTGACAATACATTACTACCAATATGGGCCCTCCTAAGATTGTGTAAAGATAAGAAACAAGAAAACACGCTCTTGCCAGGTCTTAAGTTCATCGGAGCTTAGCTCGATGCTTGGTGATTGCTCATCAGTCATTAACTATGTTTTGTCTTCAAGCTTTTTTTTCCAGTTTATTTTTTCAGTCAGATCTTCTGCTTCGTAGTTCTCTTTGCAATCTCTTATTGTAGAAAATTGAAAATTTACAAGAGCAGCCAAAGCAGTACAATAAACCTCCGTGTGTGTATGATCTAGCTTCAACAGTCACTGGTTCATAGCCAATATCATCTCACTTCAAATTCCACACCAGTCTCCAGTTTGCATACAATTTTGAAGAAAATTCCAGATATATTATTTCATCTGTGAATATTTCAGTATGTACTTTGAGAGGTAATGGATCCTTAAAACACTATAAAAGTAAAAGTGCTTTTATAGTTTTCTATAATTTTTTTGTACTTTATCTAAAAGTTAATAAAAATAATTATCAAATGTTATATTAAAAGTTTCAGTTCCCTTGAAGTTGCAGAACATTCTATATATTCATTTATAAATCCTATTAGTTTTAGATTCATGAATTCTTTCTCCATGTTATTAAAAAAAAAAAATCCCTGTTTTCACTTGTACATCTATGAAGTTTCCCATAGCCTAAATTTTGCTGTGGGCATCTTTAGCATGCCAATTAGTGTGGGTTTTCCCCTTTGTATTTCTGTAAATTGGTAATTGAACGTGAAGTCTGATCACAATGAGATCATTTCATTTTTGCTAGACTACTATATAAGGTGGCAGTCACTTCCGTTAGTAACAGATAGTAGTGTTCTGTATTGTCACCCACTTAGGACAAATACTGTTTTTCAGAATCAATTACTGTCTTAAGCACACTGTCCAGTATCATAGCCAGCAGCCCCTTAGGGTGGAGTGGTTACCATGTGGCTTGTCTGAATGCAGATATGCTGTAATGTGTAAACGTGTTGGTTTTCAGGTACTTACTGCAAAAGCAAAAGAATGTTAAAATCTCAATTTGTTTATAACCATTATGTGTTTTAAATGGTAATATTTTGGAGATATAGAATTAAATAAAACATTATCAAAATTAATTTTTCTTGTTTCTTTTTAATTTTTTTAAATCTAGGAACATTAAAATCGCAGAATGGCTTGCATTTGACAATGATGCTGCCAGATAATAATAAAACGTTAAACTCTGTCTCATTCCATATGCCTCTCATTCCCATTTCCTGCTTTTTCTTTTAACTTTTATCATTTTTCTGCTATTTACTTCAGAATTTCCAATTATCATTCTCTTAATAGTATCGTTAATTTGAGCACTCACTATATGTCAGGTGTGCTAAGTTTGAGCTAGTTCTCAGAGTAGGTTAACTCCACAGATGAGAACTCATTCAGTTATAGTTGAAGTAAGCGATCGCTTACATACAGATTCTAATCCATAAAACCTGGTGACTGTACTCCAGATACGTTACCATGCTTAACCTCTTCTGCTTACCCTTCCCTATTTATTTATTTATTTGTTTTTATTTTCAGTTGTAAATACTGCCCTACCATGGAAGGTGAAAGGTCTTGCTGTCCGGCACATTTCCTCTTCACTCCTACAGTGAACTTCTGTCATTTAGCTATACAGCTTGAGCTGGCCCACACCTTTAGTACTAGCAGCTTAGGGTATGGAGGTAGGAGATCAGAAGTTCAAATCTGCTAGGTTGAATTCTTAGCACTCACGTGGCCAGTCTGTAATTCCAGTTCCAGGGGGTCTGATACCCTCTTCTAGCCTCTGCAGGGGCCAGTTATGCAAGTGATACATGACATGCATGGAGGCAAAATACTGTGCACATAAACATTATAATTTAAAAATAATGCAGTACTTATTGTTAGAGAGGTGGCTCAGAGGTCTGAGAACATTTGCTGCTCTTGCAGAGAGCCTGAGTTCAATTGCCAGCATCCTCATGGCATCTTACAACCATCAGAAACAACAGTTCCAGGAGATTTGACTCTCTTTTCTGGCATCTGTGGGCACTGCACACATTTGGTGAACCACCAAATGCAGAAAGAAGTCATAAAACTATTCACATAAAACATATAAATCAATTTTTAGATCTAAAACTTCAATAGATTAGATGCCGAACCTTTTTCCATTAAGTGTTATGATACATACATGGTAAATAGCAAAAGAATACATTCTCACAGAGTCAAAGAGGCCCCATGGAAATCATGAAGTAGCTGATGAATGACGAATGAAGGGAAGCTGAAGCATTTGGTTAATATAGAATTTGGTCTATTGATGCCACGTTTCCTATGGTTACCTCTGTTCCCTTGTGATCTACTTAAGAAGTGATCTCCCACGATTGAGGTAAAACAACTACTTTTAAAAATTAAAGGATCAAATCATGTTGTATCTTTACATTTCGAGACCTCTGGCACCATAATAGTTCCATGGAACAGATGAAGATTGCAAACTAAGAAGCTTCCCAATTGAGGCATCTCTGATTGTCTTTTCCAGAACGTGGTTCCCAGAATAGTACTGGGACTGTCCTGTGTCTCATACCTAGGCCTGCTTGTTTATGCTCCGAAAGAACTTGTTGGGACTTGCTGCGGTCCTAGGATTATGCAGTGAGAACTGAGCTGACAAAATCACAAAGCTAACCCATCAGGATCACATTCCGATGGAGGAGGCTGACACACAGGCAGTGGGAGTATTTGCTTTATGAATAGCTGCTGTCTTGCTCTAAGTTCCCCATGAAGCCATAGTGCTTCCCTCTCTATAGTGGGATTCATCCCGAAAACCCCAGCAGGGTATTCATCAATTACTGGGCACAATTCCTCCTATGCATTGGTATATTGGATGACTTCCCAGCAGTGCGTGATTCTGGCAAGAAAATCAGTCAACTACTCTTATTCTCTCAACCAGGTTTTTTTTTGGTTTGGTTTGGGTTTGGTTTTTAAAATAAACTTAGAAGTCTGCCCTCCTGCAATTATCTTCCTTGGCAGACAGTTGATCAGTGCAAAGAGACTTCATTTGAGACGGTCACAGATGCCCACGGACAAGAATTACGGCTTATCAGATAGAGAACGAGTGTCCTGGATTCCCTCTGCCAGCAGATCGGAAAGCAAGCTAACCTCGCATTGGCATTAAAGCAAGCCTATTCTTTGCTAGCCAAAGACCCAAGTCTCAAAGCTTATCTAACTGTACTCCCACCCTCTGGTCACAGTTTCACTTCTGTAACCTTGGACCCTTGTGTTGCCTTGGTAATGGCCCTGCCCTTAGCGCGGTGAAAAGCAAACTCTTTTGCTTCAAAGCCTCTGGGGAAAGAGATTTTGAGAGGCAAGACTAAAGAGGCAGTAGCTGGCAGAAATTAGACATGTAAAAGGATAAGAGTGTAGGAAAGGAAGAAAAAAGCTAGGAGGGATTAGAAGTAGGACAGGATTATTAGGGTAAACACAGAACAATAAGGAGCATGGTCCTCAGATTGTGTGTGAAGTTACAGAGATCTTTTACCCCCTCTGCTCCTGAGAAGCGTTTTATCTTTGGAACCCTAGGTAGGGGCTGGAGCAGGAAAACATTTAATTATGGTGGCTCGCTAACTCAGTCCGTTATCATTGTGGTGGGGAGCATGGCAGCATGCGGGTAGACATGGTGCTAGATATATCTTGATCAGAAGGCAAAAGGAAATGGACTTTGTGTCAAACTGAGGACTGCTTGAGCAAAAGAAATCAAAGCCCATCCCCCACAGTGACACACTTCCTCCAACAAGGTCACACCTCCCAGTAGTGCCACTCCCTGTGAGCTTAGGGGGCCAATTAAATTAAAACCACCACACTGACAGAATGGAAGTTTCCCCTCCCTAGTGATATATTTTCTTTTCTTTAGATTTTCTATTGTATTGATCTAGACGACCATAAACTGATTGGTGGCAGGCCACCATTTATGCTGATCCAGGCTGTAGCTGGTTTCCTGGGCTTCCTCTATGTAGGATGGAGTGTGATGTATCAGTAGAAGTAAGAAGTAGTCCCTTAAGAGGGAAAACCTTTCATCTGCATAACAATTAAATCTTAAAAAAACAAGAAAACACAAGTTTACTTTGTTCCTATTAAGCCAGCACACTAACAAGCATATAATTTAACATTCTAAAAACATACATTGCACCCTAGAAGGAGTCAAGATGGTATAAATATTTGTTTTTATTAGTTTTCAAATTGAGGTATATTTCTTGTAATACCATGTCTTTGTGTTTGCTTTGATGGGGTTTGACACGCATACTCCTGACAATTCAGTCATACCATAGACAATCTACTAGCCTACAAAATTTCCTGACCTCTTCCAGGTTCGTTTGCCTTCCACAATCATAACCCATGCAACTTTTATCCTCACATTGACCTGAAGTTTTTTAATATTTATTTATTTATTATGTATACAATATTCTGTCTGTATGCCTGAAGGCCAGAAGAGGGCACCAGACCTCTTTACAGATGGTTGTGAGCCACCATGTGGTTGCTGGGAATTGAACTCAGGACCTTTGGAAGAGCAGGCAATGCTCTTAACCACTGAGCCATCTCTCCAGCCCCTGACCTGAAGTTTTAAAATTAGTTACATTTTTTCTATTCTGGCCACATGTCCTGAGTCTTCAGACACTGTGAATGTGTTTTCCTGTTCAGAGTTTTCTTTTTTTTTTTAATATTTATTTATTAATTATGTATACAATGTTCTGTCTGTGTGTATGCCCAAAGGCCAGAAGAAGGCACCAGACCCCATTACAGATGGTTGTGAGCCACCATGTGGTTGCTGGGAATTGAACTCAGGACCTTTGGAAGAGCAGGCAATGCTCTTAACCTCTGAGCCATCTCTCCAGCCCCTCCTGTTCAGAGTTTATGTCTCTGGACCCCAGATCTTTTTCTTTCCTTTTCTTTTCTTTTGTAACAGAATATCAAATTTATAGCCTGGCCTCAAATTTACAGCAATCTGCCTTTCTCAATCTACTGAGTATGGGAACTACAAGTATGGGCCTAAAACCAATGCTTAGTTATTGTTTAAGATCGGGACTGCTTGTTAACACGCCTGCTTATAACATGACTGCACATGATTAGGTCACACAAGCTACCTGATTCTTTGGAATACCAAACACTTAAAAATTAACTGTAGAGCCGGGCGATGGTGGCGCACGCCTTTAATCCCAGCACTCGGGAGGCAGAGGCAGGCGGATCTCTGTGAGTTCGAGACCAGCCTGGTCTATAGAGCTAGTTCTAGGACAGGCTCTAAAGCCACAGAGAAACCCTGTCTGGAAAAACCAAAAAAAAAAAAAAAAAATTAACTGTAGAATCTGTATATGTCAATGGCAATTCATATTATCACAGTTCTCAGTAGACTCTGAAAGTGTTCAGGGGAGCAGTCTCTTCAGTGCACAGAGGAGGAAAACAGTTGCTGAGCATATCCTTTGGTGCCGAGACTGGAGATTTCTTTTGCTTCATCCACTGTCCTTGGATGTATGAACACAGGACAGAGTTCTCTTATTCCAGAACTCAATTTTCTTGTTTCTTCTCGGAAATTTCATAGGTTACCCATTCTTTCCATCCCCCAGCATAGTGTTGAACACTGAAAACATACAAAATAGGGTTATATTTCATAGCAGAAGATCGGGAGGAACTTTGCAATAGCTACTCACCTTACTATCTAGTTCTATACTGCTTTTCAAAATCGTTGGTTTTTAGTAGGTGGGAAAGACACATGCCCTTGGTCTCTATACTGCCTTTATTAACAGTATGGGGTTTTTTGTTGTTTTGTTTTGTTTTACCCTTGCAGTAGTAGGGATTAAATCCAGGGACTTGGGCATGTGAGGAACATGGTTCACCACTGAATTCTATTACCAGCTCCAAGATACTCTTTTTTTTCTGACACAAATATCATGTAGCTCTGATTGACTTTAAATTTTTGTTCCATATGTGTGTAGGTGTTTTGTCTGCCTATGTGTCTGTACACCACATGCATGGCTAGTGCTCAAAGAGGACAGATGAGGGCATCAGACCTCCTGGAACTGAAATTACAGACAGCTGTGAGGTGCCATGTGCGTGCTAGGAGTCAAACCTGGATCCTCTGGAATTGCAGACAATGCTCTTAACCACTGAGAAATCTCTCCAGCCCTGCCCCCTCCCCAAGAGATTCTTAAGTAGACTAACAGATGTTTATTTTTGTTATGCCAGGGGTTGCATCCGGGGCTTTTCACATCCTAGGCAATTATACCACCGCTGGGCAATAGCCCCATCATCCCAAATGTCTGATTAATATTGCAATCTAGGCCGGGCGGTGGTGGCGCACGCCTTTAATCCCAGCACTCGGGAGGCAGAGGCAGGCGGATCTCTGTGAGTTCGAGACCAGCCTGGTCTACAAGAGCTAGTTCCAGGACAGGCTCCAAAACCACAGAGAAACCCTGTCTCAAAAAACCAAAAAAAAAAAAAAATTGCAATCTAGTGCTCAGTCTACCTGTTAAAGCCCAGTGATATTGCTGTGTCCATAGCCTTCTTACTTCTTACTCCAGCAAAACAAGAAAACACTAGACTGTCGGATTTGGATGGCTTCACTTCATGGTACTTCTCTTTGAAATCCCTTGAGTTCATCTGTAGAGCTTCCCCCACCTCATCCACTGGAAGAAAGTGGTGACACAGTTAATTAAGTTTGGGATACAATCACTTATTATGAATAGACCTGTTTAAAACACATAGCACTTACATGGTATGTTGATCGATCCAGGTATTTTTCCATGCTCAAGAACTTCCCACGTATCTCTAACATCAATTAACATAATGTTTTTGGAGCTCAACAGGTTTTTTAGTTCCCTATATGTGACACCCTTAGAAAGAGCAGAGCAAAAATGTTGGCTGCTTCCCCATATTGACTTCAAACCTATAAAAAAAAATTCAGACTTAAGTGACATTGGTATTAACAGCTATAAGTAGGTTATAGTTAGATAACATAACTGACTTCACCTTTTTGCTTTAACAAACTCTGGATACATACTCTGTTCTTGCTTCCTGACCTGGAAGTACATAGAACTCCTGGGAATGGGAGGAAAAGATACTTTTGTTTGAATGAGGTTGGCTCTGGTGCCCTAGACAGCTTCAGGGTAGCACTGATCGCCCAAAAGACTAAGCCGTGAGAACAACTTGGATCTTTCATGCCTGGACTTCTGTGCAGTGGAGCAAGGCTAGAAGACTGACCTAGCAGTCAACAGTGCTTCCGTTATGACGCTTCCATTAAAATCTTTCATCTATAGGGTTTGGAGATACTGGGCTAACACATCTACGCACTGGGAACATGCCACACCTCAGTTCCATGAAGAGGGAAACACTCTTCTAGATTCTTCTAGATCTCCTACCATGGCTTCTTCAGTAGGTTCTCCGTCTGTATTCTTTAATAAATCATTGAAAATAAACTGATAGAAATGCTTAACTGAGTTCCATTAGTGAATTATTGACAAAGGAGAAGGGGTCATGGGAAGTTCTGATTTATATTCCGTTGGTCAGAAATGTGGGAAGCATGAATTTGGGAATGGTGTCTAAAGTTGGCACAGTTTTGTCTGGTGTCTTCAGTAACTCTGGGTAGTTGGTTCAGAATTAAATTTTAAGACTCAAATAGAGAATTAGCTTGGTGTAGAAAAACTATACATTTGGTATCAGAAGCTATTTGTGAGGGGAGGCAGATCAGTAGTAAAGTGCCTGCTTCTAATATGAGGCCCCTGGCTCAGCCCTAACATACTTGAGAAGAGAAAGGGTTGTGAGCAGAGCACAGAAAAACGTTTGCCAGTGTGCACACGTTCTGACTGAGCAACACAACGCGGCCTGCCAACTTGCTCTGTGTGCTTCATAGCTGGCCTTCAGCCTCTTCGTAGGCCCTCAAAACCCCTTTAGCTAGCAAGAGCTTTGAAACATATGAGACATTTAATAATTGTTATGGGTATAATTTGCTAATCCCATTTGTAACTCAAGTGACAATATGAGGAAAAATTTAACTTCATTTCCCTTTGCAAATAAGAATAGGAACTTGCATATCATACGGTTTCTGCTGTTGTGATAAAAACACCTTGGCCAAAAGTAACTTGGGGAAGAAAGGGTTTGTTTCACCTTATAGCTCCTAAATTCATCACTGAGGGAAGCCAGGGGCATGAACTGAGGACAGGAATCTGGAGGCAGTTACTGAACAGAAGCCATGGAGGATTGCTACATATTGTCTTGTTCTCCATGGCTTGCTCAACCTGCTTGCTTATTACCACATTTACCTGCTCAGGGTGGCACACCTACAGTGGATTGGCTCCTCCCACATAAACCTTTAATAAAGATTTGTCCCTGCCAGACATGGTGGTGTACAACTTTAATCCCAGCAATTGGAAGGTAGGGCAGGTGGGTCTCTGTGAGTTCAAGGTCAGCCTGGTCTACAGAGCAAGTTCCAGGATAGCCAGGGCTACATAGAGAAACCCTGTCTCAAAAAACAAAAACCAAAAAGGTGGGTGGGGGAGTATAAGTGTTAAAACTTTGCATCAAACCAGTGAAGCTTCGATTATACCAAATACTGGCGAAGGTCTGAGGAAATGGATTTTCTCACACATTTCCAATAAGAACTCTTAAAGGAGGGCTAGAGTGGTTAACCCTGTCTTGAAAAACCAAAACTCTAAAACAAAACAAAACAAAAAAAGAGCACTTACTGCTCTTCCAGAGGACCTGAGTTTGATTCCAAGATTTGATGGCTGCTCAAAACAGTCTGTAACTTTAATTCTGAGGGATCCAGGACCACCTTTCCCCCCTCTTCAGGCACCAAGCACGTAGGTGAGACATACATGTGGACAAATTACCCTTACACATAAATACACACACACACACACACACACACACACATAGTTTTGTTTCGTTTTGTTTAAGACAAGAACTCTCAACATAGCCCTGCATATCCTGGAAATCACTATGTAGATCAGGCTGGCCTCGAACTCACAGATATCTGCCTGCCTCAAGCTCCCAAGTGCTGAGCCTAAAGTTTTAATAGATCTTTTGAAGGAAATTAGCGTAATAACATTTTAAGTTTGCATCTTCTTTTTCCCCTCATGGCTCTGCTTTTAGAAATCTTTCCTACAGGATCACGTGTGGGGATGACATTACAGCTTTGACGAGAAGTCTGTTCTTCCATCTTTTTTTGGGTTCCAGGATCAAAGTTAGGTCACCAGTCTTGCGTAGCAAGCAGCTTTACCCACTAAGCTGTCTTGTAGCCCCAAGATGATATTTTAAACAATTTTATTTAACTTTTAAGGTGCTTTCCCCCTGTGTATGTGTCTAGCATATGTGTGCAGAGGTCACATGTATCTATTCCCAGAAGCTGGAGTTGGAAGCACTTGTGAGCCTCCTGACATTGGCGGTGGGAACTGAACTCAGTGCTCTTAACCGCTGAGCCATCTCTCCAGTCAAGGGTTTATTTTTCTATGGATCTGTGTGTACATGTGAAGAGGTCTCTCCAGGTACTCTTGGAAGTCAGAAGAAGGTGTCATGTGCCTTGGAGCTGAAATTACCTGTGGTTGGGAGGTGCCCCAAGTGGATGCTGGTAACTAAACTCAGGGCTTCTTCAGGAGCAGTATAAACTCTTAGCCACTGAACCATCTCTCCAGCCCTCAGAATTATATTTTTGAACATCTTTTAAAATTTATTTATTTAGTATATATATATATATATACGCTTGCCAAAAGACAGCACCAGATCTCATTACAGATGCCTGTGGGCCACCATTTGGTTGCTGGGAATTGAACTCCGGACCTCTGGAAGAGCAGTCAGTGCTCTTAAGCTCTGAGCCATCTCTCCAGCCCCCAGAATTATATTTTTAAAAGTTTGGAATCAACCTATTCAAATTAGAGACAGCAGGCTAAATCCATACATTTTCTATATGTTATGGTAAGAAACTAGAAAACTATGTAATTCATAAATTATATTAAGCTTGGTTCTAGCCCTGCTTACCAACATGGAAAATGTACCCACAGCAAGCAACTCTTGAAACTGGATCAAAGTTAATTTTTTCCTTGTAATCATCAGACTGACTTAACTTCCTATAATTCAGCTATGCTCTCTTTTGAGGTAGTAGGAAATAAAGACAGGCTTTATTGCTCTTCCATTCAGTCATCAAAAGCTGATGCAGCAGTGTAAGTATCTTATGGCATGAGCCTGCACTACATATTATTTATTTGCATCAAGCGGTAGGTGTTTTGTGTACCATATCCTCTACTTGTAAATTGACCACTTGGTCTGGTGTTCAACCAAAGAAGTATTCAACAGTTCTGACACTGAAGAAAAAGATGTCTGAGCCTTAAGTTTTGGAGAATACATATAAATTATATTATATTTATTATATTATATATATCCCTTCTCAAGCCATGAGCCAAAATAAACCCTTTCTGAATTTGCTTTTGTCTGGTATTATGTTACAGCACTGAGAAAACTATTGAATATATGCTGTTGGATTTAAATAATATTAGTGTATACACAGTGCGATTAATAATTATTCCTGTTTTCATAATTATACCACACTGCTCCTTCTGAAAGAAATACCTCTCCCTTCATCTTTACAGGGAACATTTACTCTCCTTTCATATCTATTTAATATTTCTTGACATTTCCCTTTAACAATTCTGCTTCTAATCCATTCTACTAAAATACCTGTTTGTGTGCACCAGGCAGATTACACAATGATTATCAAATAATTTTATAATAAAATTTGGGACTTAAATTTTTTACAAGTGACTGGTTAGTAAACTGTAGTACATTCCCACTATGGAAAACATGCAGCTTTTAAAAGCTAAATACTTACGTGAGTCAAAATATAGAAGTATATACACAATACACACATATAATACAAACTTTTATCTATGGGTAACCATAGAAAAACTTAAAAGAGCCATTATCGTCCATATCTGAGGAGTGGGATTCGAGTATTTAAAGGAGATCTGTGGCTCTGCTATTCTTTTGTTTGCTTTGTTTTAGTGAGAATATAACTATGCACGATTTGTGTACCTTTTAAAATACGGAAAGTGCGAGGCAGTGATGGCACCTACCTTTAATCCTAGCACTCAGGAGGCAGAAGCAGGTGGGTCTCTGTGAGTTTGAGGCCAGTCTGGTCTACAAAGAGAGTTTCAGGACAAACTCCAAAGCTACAGAGAAAAACTCTGTCTCAAAAAGAAGCAAAACAAATACACAACGGCCCCTTCCTCTAGCAGGGTGTTCAAGTCAAGATTTACTCTGGATTGGGTTGCATACTTGTATCTGTCTCCATCTCGCCCATCCACATACAAATGGTGAACTCCTTGGGGAGCTAATTCTTTGCAGGAGGCCTGGCAGATTTGATCACCTACTTTTGCTACAGAAACATGAATGGTAACAATTTGCACAGAAAAGTCCATCTTCAGCAACAAAAGAGCAAGGGAGGCTAGCTTTCTGGGCCCATAAACCTGCTTCTTTGGAAGAAAATATTACATTAAAGAAGAGACTGTTTAAAATAAGAAGAAAAATAAAATAAAATAAAATAAAATAAAAGGGTGTGGAGGAGTGTTGGGAAGGACTGAAGCCCTGGATTGAGCTTTAGACCCAGCTGGGTCAATAGCGACATTCACTTCTGCCTTCTTCCAAATTTACAGAATTAATGGGAGAGGGAGTACTTTCCTAGTTCTAACCCCCACCCCCGCTCTCAGTGTGTGTGTGTGTGTCTGTGTGTGTGTGTCTGTGTGTGTGTGTGTGTGTGTGTATTTCATGAAAAGATGAGCTCTAGCCGCTGCTGGGTCGGGTCACAATGGTAAGTTAAAAGGGTGGGTTTATAATTAAGCCTTTCCGGAGCCCTCTTGCTGGCTCTTTTCAGTGGCGAAGTGACCTTCATCACTCAAACTTGCATAATTAATTTCCATTATAAATAACCTTGGTGCCATGTTTGCTCTGCCGCTGCGTTCATCCGCACATCTCCAGACACGGAATCCGGAGGATCAAAAGGAGCAAAAACTGCAGTGGGCACCAGATACCTACGTGCCAAGAGTAGCTAGAGGGCTTCATTTATTTTAACTGGAAGTCTAAAGACGAGCGCACGCTCAATGTCATCCCCTCCCTGGCACTTGATATCAGGTGGTTTTTGTTTCTCGGGGATCAAGCTCACCGCCAAGCGCAGCCTCCACCGATCCTAGCGCCGCCCTGCGTGAGGTTCCAAGCACCCGCCTGGCCAACATCACCGTGGGCAATCTGGGACCCCGGGTGCTGCTGACCACTTCCTCCTCCTCCTTCCTGGCTTCTCACCACCGGCGCTGTCTAGGCTCTTGAGCGCCCCGCAGTCAGCACTGACAGAACCGGGTACTGCCACACCGGGAATATTTGACTTTATCCGAAGATGGTCTTTGGCAGTTTTATAGTGTTAGCTTCTTACTGCTACATTGACAACTCGCCATATGTTTACTGACTTAAATCAGCAGAAATTGATTATTTACAATTTTGAAGTTACCACACAAATCAATGTGTCCAAAAATATGTGTATTTTTAAAAAAAAAAAAAAAAACACCAGGGAAGCTTTTTATTTTAATTTACTTTTACCTGTTTTCGTGTCTTCTCATGCTGACTTATCCCTTGGCTCCCGGTCTTTACTCATCTTCAGAGCAGGTATCTGAGCACCTTCACATCTCTCTGGCTGACTCTAGCATCTGCTCTAAGTCCTTTCATTTGCCCTCCTCTCTTCTTCCTCTAAAGACCACTGAAATAATCCACGCCAGTGTCCCCACTTCCAGAGAGTTAACACAGGATAATATCTGCAAAGTCTCTTTTACCAGATGTGGCAGTTTGAATAAGAATGGCCCCCATAGGATCATGTATTTAAATGCTTAGGGAGTGGCCTTAGGCAATGTTGCCTTGTTGCAAGAAAAGTGTCATGGGGGTGGGCTTTGAGGTTTCATAAGCTTACACGAGGCCAGGTGTGTCTCTCTCTTCCTGCTGCCTGCAGATCTGATGGAGAACCCTCATCGCCTTCTCCAGAACCATGTCTGCCTGCACACCACCATGCTCCCTGCCATGGTGATAATGGACTACGAAAGCCAGCCCTGATTAAATGTTTTCCTTTAATAGAATTGCTATGGTCATGGTGTCTCTCCACAGCAATAGCACTGACTAAAATACCAGGGAAGGTAACACATTACAGGTTCCAGGGATTAGAACTCGGGGCATATTTGGGTTGGGTGGGCTAGGACATTTTTTCCCCCTTATAAAGCTTCTCGCTTTACCTTAACTTTCTCCTCAGTTTAGTTCTCCAAACATCATAAAAGCTGCATTGAACTGGAATTTATTCAGTTAGAAATTAACATATTAACTCAAACTGATATTAAATTGTATGCCCAAGAAATAATTTCATTAAATACACATTTTGAAATCAGTACATTTTCTTTTTTGTCTTTGTCTTTGTATTTGTATTTGTTTTGTTTTTTGAAAAAGGGTGTCTTTGTGTCCATGGTTGTCCTGGACCTTGCTCTGTAGACCAGGCTGGCTTCAAACTCACAGAGATCTGCCTGCCTCTGTTTCCCGAGAACTGGGATTAAAACATGCTCCTCCATCGCCTGTCTAAAATCAGCCCATTTTCAATAATTTAGTACTTTTTATTGTGTGTTAGGTGTGTGTGTAGTTGTCTGTATATGTATGTGGTGTATGCACTAGTTAGGGTGGGTGTGTGTATAGAGGGCAGAGGTTGATGCTAGGTGTCTTTCCTCAGTCACTACACCTTTCTTTTTTGAGACAATGTATCTCATTGAACCCGAAGATGACTAATTGGGGTGTGTGTGTGTGTGTGTGTGTGTGTGTGCTAGAGAATAGTTCAGTGGTTAAGAACATTTGTTAGCAGAGAGCCTCGGTTTAATTCCCAACATCCATATGGTGGTTTATAACAATCTATAACTCCTCTGAGTGTACCTAGAAAGTACATGGTGCACAGACATACATGCAAGAAAACACTCATACATATAAATTAAATAAATAAAAAATTATTTTTTAAAAAAAGATGAACGCTTAGGCTAGGCTGACTGGCCACTGAGCTTCAGATCAGACTGTCTCTGAAATCCCACCCGAGCACTGGAGTTATAGGCACATTGTGCTTTCTAGATGGTTCTGAGATTCTGAACGCAAGTCCTCATGCTGTGCAGCAAGCACTCTGCCAACTGAGTCATCTCTCTAGATCCAGTAATTCAATAATTCATAAACTACATCAGATTCTACACCAGTGACATCATCTGCTATGAGGTGTTTCCTAATCACTTAGAGTTTAAGCTCTTAAATTTTGGGTTTGAGGGGGGCTGTGTGTGTGTGTGTGTGTGTGTGCGTGTGTGGAGAAGAGTACATATGTACCACAGCATGTATGTTGGAGGTCAAAGGACAACTTTGTGGAGTCAGTTCTACTTTAAAACATTTATATGGGGTTTGTCATGCGTAGTGACAGGCACCCTTACCTGCTAGGCTATCTTGCCAGTCCTATGTAATATACATTTTTTGTAGATTCACCACATGAGAGAAAACATGTGTGATTGTTAGCTTTAATTGTCAACTTAATGCAACTTAGAATCATCTGGGAAGTCTCAGTGTTGGATTGCTTACATTGTGTTGGTTAGTTGGTATGTCTTGGTGAACTTAATTACAGTAATTGATACAAGAAGATCCAGACCACTGTGAGTGGCACCAATCCCTAGACAGGGGGCTCTGAACTGTTTGAAGAGTAGAGAAATGGAAGGGCTTAAAGAGATGAGTGAGCCGGGAACAAGGATTAGAGTTCAGTTCCTAGCATCTATGTTGGCACTCAATGGCCTTTTCTGACTTTACAGACACACCTAGACACTTGGCACTCACTCTCAAACATACATACACATACATAAAATAAATACTCCATTATTTAAAAGTGGAAAAAAATCAAGCTGTACACGAACAAGTGAGCATCCATGTGTTCATTTCTCTCTGCTTGTGACTTGGTGTTTTATTAGAAATAAGTTCAGGGTCCCAAAGAAAGAGACCACCTTTCCAACCTTACTCTTGAAAACGAGGGCATTCTTGGAAAATTGACCAAAGACAGGAAGTGCCCTTGGTTTTTTGTAGTACTAAGAGCGGTGGGGCTGCGTTCCCCAGCACCCCGGCCGCCTGGCTACCTTATACCCTGAAATAATTACACGGAAACTGTATTCTTTTAAACACCGCTTGGCCCATTTCTATCTAGCCTCTTCTAGGCTAATTCTCACATATTAATTTAGCCCATTTCTAATCATCTTCATAGCACCGCTAGGTGCGCTTACCAGGAAGATTCTAGCCTACGTCCATCCTGGGTTGGAGCTTCATTGCGTGTGTCTGCCCAGGCGCAGGGAGCATGGCGTCTCTCTCTGAGGCGTCTTACCTCACTTCCTCTTCCTCACAGCATTCTGTTCTGTTTATTCCACCCACCTATGTTCTAAGCTATGAGCCCAAGCAGTTTGTTTATTACTTAACCAATGAAATCAACAGATTGATATATGACACTCCCACATCAGTTTTTACCCAACTTTTAATGGGGATTGCAGTCTCTGGAGATTAGACTAAGAGCATATCCGTTAGATAGCAAGGTTGCTGAATGAAATGGGGGTAGTAAAGAAACCAAACTAGCTACTCCAGGGTGAAAAGGGAAAAGGTATTTTCCAAACTGCAAGGCTGTCTCCTAGGAAAGCAAGGAAAAGCGACAGGGGAACGATTTCCAGTGTTAAACAGGAATAGGATTCTCATGAGCTGGGGTGGGGCTTGTGAGCAGGGACTGAGGGAGCCAAGAGGCTAGCATTGACCTTGACAAGTTAATAGGTACCTTTGCCATCTGTTAACTGAAGTGCCACTTGTTCCTCTTGCCAGAGATGAGAATGATTCCCTCTTTTAGCAAACAAGCACTTTCTTCAAGCCGCTGAGGGAATGGTGGCTTTTGTCTAAAGGCCAGATGTGGAAAAAGCAATTTCTTGGCGGACCAGACAGTAGCCATGGGACTTCATTAATTGTAAGAGAAATTTTAATATTCAGTGATTAATTGCAGAATTCTTAAATTTCTTTTTATTAAGAAGAGAATCTAAATTTTCATGTTTAAATCCAGCCCTTCTCCGTCTAATTGTAAAGTGAGTCTTAAAATATGATATTTTAAAAAGGTCCTATTCTGATGCAATTTAGTTGAAAATCCTTTAGATTTGCTCTTACCTGTTCATCTTCCATTTCAAATTCAACATCAACATATGAAACTTTGTATTTATACAGACAATTTTGACTTTGAAATTATAGCACAATGCAAACTGTTTTTCCCCATGCAATATTTACTTTTTTCATCCTGGAAGAGAATCTCTTAAAAGGTAATTATGCCTCCCCACATCTAGCACCTTGACGTGCATATTTGTATTCCATTGTGTTTGTCCAATTCACGGTTTCTATAAACACAATGTAAATGAATAGCTAGCCCCTTTGGCAAGTTTTCCCATAGTAATGGATTAGAATTTTTAAGTTAACCAGCAGTCAGCTTTTGGCTCTTAGTTACAATCTTTTAACTTCTAAGCCATCAACTTGTCCTTTGTGTAAAAATGAGACTTCTAGGACCCATCAACCAGTGCTTGCAACAAAATAATTTCAAACCAACTATTTTTACTCAAAAGCAAATTGTACATCGCTGTTACAGATGATTGGACTCTGAAGAATTAAGGGTGTGATGCACTGTCTAGTTCAGGAGAGAGAACCACATGAAAAAAAATTCATATACAGTGAATGTCAGATTTAATTCTTTAGAGGTCCCAGAACGGTGATGAGACACTGGAGGCCGTTCCAAACGGTGCTCAGCGAGACAGGCCTGAAGGACCAGAGCAGCTCACCCAAGCCAGCACCTGAACTTAGGCCTGTGGCTGGCATTGTACCAGCCGGCTGCAGGGAGTCACCCCCTCATTACACCTACACCTACTCCAGTTCGCTCAGACCTCTTCGCCGAGGGAAGGACGACCGGGGACAGAGCCTAGACTCAAAGTCCCGCCCCTGGCTCCACCCAGGACGCCAGGCCCCGCCTTCACCGGGTTGCCTGTCGCGCAGGCGCAGAAGCTCCTGTGTGTGGAAGCTGCGGCCCGGCGGGCGGGGTGAGTTGGGGCCCAGGCTTTGGGGTCACTGCAATCCTTGTGCCTTCGCTGTGTTTTCGCTTGAGCAGCGAGGCTTCCTTCTAGGTGGACCAGCCTAGGAAAAGAGGTTTCCCGCGTGCCCTCGCGTCCACATTCGCAGGGGCGCCGGGCGG